CCATGTCTAGGTCCACAGCACTGATGTAGCCAGGGTCTGTGCTGATGTCTGATGCTCCTGTTACTATCAAAGGCCATGCAGACACCCACGATCAAGGGCCAAGCTAGTGTCTCAGGGCCATACTGCCACTCAGTCCTGTGCTAATCTGAGTGGCCTGCACTCCCACCTGGAGCAGTGGTGACATGCAGACCCAGCTGCTGCCTCGGACCATGTCTGGGTCCATGAGCTTACCATGACTGGGGTCTGTGTTGAATTCTGAGTCTTTGTATTGCCACCAAATGTTACATAGCAGCCCAGGGTTGCAGCCACAACCTGAGGGCATGGTGGTGTACCAAAGCCATGTGACTGCCAGAATTATATCAACCTGAGTGGCCATTGGTTCCACCTAGCACCCAGATGTCGTCCAGTCCCAAACTGCTACCGAGGGCCATGTCCAGCTGAAGCTGGGGTCTGTGTTCATGTCTGTGGCCCATGTCACCTCAGGGGACCTTAGGAACCATGTTAGATAAAATCAGAGGGCCATGCTGAGCTGTCCGGACCCTTCGTTGACCCTGGGAAAACTGGCCTTGCCCCTCGCTGGACACTAGAGCAACAGAGCTGGACCCTGCACTCAAGAGAGATGGCTCCAACCCTCAGCACAGGTGAGGGTGAACCGACTCTGAGGACATGGATGTAGGGGAGCTGAATCTACCCCCTTGCCTGAGGCAGGAGGCCCCAGGAGACAGGACTGACCAACTCAGCTATCACTCAGGCCCACAGCCAGACCTTGGGTTGGCCCACCCTAACATCTATCCCATCTAGGACCTGCTGGAGCCCATGAAGCGACTGGTGCTGCAGAACAACACCCACAAGATCTCCACAGGGTATCCCAGAGGAGTTTCAGTGAGGATCCAGCAACCAGAGGTTGTACCATCAACCAGAGGCCTTGAACCAGACCCATGACTCATTGCAATGAACATTTGCAAGTAAAGCTGATAGGACAAAAGGGTATACATCTTGTGACACATCAAAGCCCCCAGTGCCACCAGGATGAAAGAAGAAGTGTTGGAGAGGCAGGAAAGAAAGAGAAGCAAAGAGGTTTATTTGTTGTTGTTTGTCTTGGTTTGCTTTTGTTTGTTTTGTTCTTATTTTTATTTGCTTTCTTGCTTACTGTTTTGTTTTCTTTGGTGGGGGACACTGCTGGGGTGAGGGGAGGATATGGGGGAACTGGGGGTAAGCAGAATTGGGGTGCATGATTTGAAACTCTCAAAGAACCAATAAAGAAGTTAAATTTAAAAACAGTACCACTTGTGTGCCCTACTTCTGGAGGCTAGAAAGGGGTGTAGAATCCCCTGGAACTGGGGTTACAGGTGGTTGTGAGCCTTCATATGAATGTTCAGAGTTGAACTACTGTCCACAGCAAGAGCAGGCAGTGGGCAGCTTACATAAAGAGAAACGGGATAATGTAAGTTAGAAAAGTTGTCTAGAAACAAGTTAAGCTAAGGCCCGGCATTCATAAATAAGAATATATGTCTCCATGCACTTATTTGGGAGCTGGGGGGGTGGGCCTCCAAAGAGTGAAAAAAACTGACTACAAGCTAATATTAAGCATTAGTGGAAGACTTGCAACAATAGGAGACTTCTTGGCATGAGGGCCAGGACACTGGTGAAGTAATATAAATCTACTCAAGTATGTCTAAATCATGAGGACATGTACTGGCCTGTATAGCTGCAAGTTCAGAGAATGCATGGTGGTTGCTTTGCTAGTGGCTTAATATCATCACTGAAGACCTACCTTCTTTGTTTCTGCTCAACATTCTGTGGTGCCAGCTCCCTACTAGTCTCAAGATGGTTGTAAACTCGTACTACTTGCTTGTTTGTTTGCATTCAAAGATGGGGAGAAGATAGAGAGAAGGAAAATGGAGGTTAAGAGGACTGTTTCAGAAGCTTCAAGGCCCTACAAAATATTTCCTCCTTTCCTACTGGCTTAACTTTTATCAGGTGCTGTGACAGAACAAGAAAGTATGGAGGTTCTTCCATCTTGTATTCTTGCTAAGAGCATTTTAGAATTAGATAGAATTTGATCTCCTTGATTGGGAAGCCCTGTTGAAAATTATCATAACTGAGGATGCTCCAGCTAACCTATTTTAGTTTCTGTTAAACCACTTGTTTGTGCAGAAACCCCACCCCTTCAGCTAACTGCTTATCTTAACTTGGGTTAATCTGATTGCTTGCAAAATAAACATTCCCTGCAACTGCCAAGCAAGATACTATGATGTTGTTTTGACCTTTAAAATTCCTTTTCTTTAGCCGGGTGTGGTGGCGCACGCCTTTAGTCCCAGCATTCAGGAGGCAGAGGCAGGTGGATTTCTGAGTTCAAGGCTAGCCTGGTCTACACAGTGAGTTCTGGGACAGCCAGGGTTACGGAGAAACCGGTCTTGAAAAACAAACAAAACAAAACCCATGAACAAAACAAAATCCCAATTGGCAAAAGACTGTGTCTGTGTACTCTTTGTTGGCACCCCATAACATTGTTTTGTCTTGAACCAAGAACTATAACTAGGAATCAGAATCAAGCTCATTAGTTTTCAAGTTGACCTGTATCTCTCATTATTGCAACTAGCATGAGCTATGTTTTATCTCCAAAGCATAAATAAAATTCATGGAGAAGTGTACAAGAGTGAGGGTAGTTACCAATGAAAGAGACAATGAATTTTATAGAGATTATAAAAATGTGTGTGCAGGTACCTGCAGAGGCCACAAGAGGGCATCTGATCTTCTAGAGCTCGAGTTATAGGTGGGTCATCTGATGTGGGTGCTGGGAACAGAACTTGAGTCCTTGGGAAGATACGAAAGTGCTCTTAACCACTGAGCCATTTCTCTAGCCCCAGTTTTGTTCATTTTTGTTTGATGAATACTTGTTGTGACTTTAAATAATGGCAAGTACTTGGGCAAAACACTGTCTAGTATGGAAGGTAGCATTAATAATGGTATAGTTGTGAAGGTTAGAATGGGAAACCACGTAGCAGGGGGAAAGGAAGACTTCCCTTTAGGTTTAAGTGATTAACTGTAATCTAAGGCATTTGGTAGGAGAGATGTATAGTCTCTGGCCAGAGCTATTCCATCTCTTGGTTTTCTAGTAGGAGCATCTGCTTCCAAACTGTGAGGCAGAGCAGAAGATAGGGGAGTGGGAGTAGGAAAAATGAGAACTGAGGAAAGGAGGAGGGCAGGGGATGGGAGAAGAAAAAGAGGGGAGGGAAAAGGATGTTGGATGTGCTGGTACCTTGATTACAACTCATGAACCAAAATATATGATTATTAAACATATTTGGTCCAGAGTCCAGGATACCTTAGTTTTTAAACCTGTTATTTTTTTTAACCCCAGAATTCCATCCAGGACACTATATTTCGTAGTCATAATCTTCTAGAGTTTCTTCAATTTTCCTTGCTTTTAATGACCTTGAAGTTTTGAGACATGCTGGTCAGGTATTTTGTGGGACCTAGTAGTTTTCTAACCTAACCACGAAGTGTAATCTCATCACTTCTGACCATAATCTACTTGTTAGAAGCTACTGCAAAATCTAGCCCACTACAGGGGAGGAGGATTTAGCTGTATCTGTTGAGGACAGGAATATCAAAGAATTTGTGGGCAAGTCCTTAAGCCTCACCTACGACGTGATGGTTTCAGTAATACAGTGATAGAATCCAAAAATTTGCATTTTTAACAAGCTTCCAGGTGCTGCTGCTGTGAATGGGCTAGAGATTTCATTAAGAACCATGGAGAGCTTGTGTAAATCCTTATTGTGCACAACAAGCTGGAAGAACTTTGAGATGATTCAAACTTAAGAGATCTAATCACCACTGAAATCAACTGGTTTAGTTTCTAGATTAACTGTTATCATGTACAAAAGTGTCTTATATTTGTATTAGATGTGATTTGTTTTATTTAATTGTCACAAATACTAGGGAGAGAATCCATACATCTCCACCTGACTTTAAAATAACCGAGAGACAGAAAGGCTAGGAGACCAGTCTTAGGTCACACAGCATGCTTATGATAGGGTCAAGTTAAGGGCTGAGTCACTGAGCCATGAACCAGCACCAGTTTCCATCATACAGGCTTCTTTCACATTTTTCCAATTTTCAGTACTCGGACACTCTTTACAGAGGAGACAGGAAAGGGAGACTGGAAAACTATGAGTCTGGTTTCTGAAGGGCAGTTTAAATACCCTGTGGGAGTGTTCTTGAGCGTCTCTGGGGAAGGGGTCATCATTTGGCAGACTTTCTGAGATGCAGCAGGGTTTACAGGGATGGGGGCTTGGGTAGAACTTCCACCACAACACTAGTAATCAGATTAAGAAGGAAGTTTTTTAAAATCTTTTTTTGTAGCTGATATTTACACGTTATCAAAAATTAAGTCAATGTTTGGTGGTAGTGGTTAAAGCCAGCAGTATTTCATATAGCCACTAGGAAATACAGATTTTATATACTGTGACATGAATTCAAGTTCACTATCATGCAAAAAAATCCAGCAGTGTAAACATAGCAGATACCTGCCCCCAAATAGTGGTGAAACTGTGTCAGGGTTCTATGATGGTGAGAAATTGTGAAAGAATCATTAGTAGCTCTAATTTGAACCTTTCCAATGGATGTGTATGTGGGGGTGGGACGGGGCAATGAAATATGATTAATCCCATCAAACCGTTTTGGGGTGAGAGGATTTAGGAAACATGGACATAGAGTGTTAATGACCTTTATTTGTAATGGATTCCTCCAATGGTGGTAGTAGGGAGAGTGGCATGAATAGAGTTAGTGACCTAAGAATCTTGCTCAGTTATTGGCTTAAAGTGGTAATTAGACGTATAGGGCGGGGAACTGCAGCCAGTGACGTAACAATCCTTGTTTTCGTAACAATCGGTCCAAATGTATTCACTAGTGTGAAGGTGGGCAGACAGGGAGCAGAGGTCCTGACCAGTAGCTGGGGGTGGGGAGACTGGGGAGCAGGGAGCAAAGCAGTTACTTCCATTTAATTCTGTGCTAAGGTACCAGTATTGTTGGAGGGAATGAAACAAACCATGTAGTTAAGAGGAAAAGAATTTGAAAAAGCATTGGACTGCAAGGAACAACTTAAAGCCTAGCAGTCAGCTGATCCGAGGAGGGCCTTCCCAGAGAGGGGCCTGGGGTTCGAAAGGTCTAGGGCTGCGCTAAATATCGTGTTTCAGGGCGTGGGCTCCCGGCGTCCTCCAGGTCTCCAAGTACCTTTTGGTCTTGGAAGACCAGATCCGGGGAGGGAAAGACAACAGGCAGGTTTGCGGAGAACAGGGTAAGACCCACGAGCGAGGGCGGGAGGTTTGGGCGTGTTACCGGGGCTTTAAGAAAGCTTTGGCGTTGGCGGCAGCCAATCAGCGGCGTGCGCGTGCCCCTCGCGCCCCTCACAGCCCACGAGCGCCGTGTACGTGCGGCGGCAGGCCCCGCCTCTTCTGGGCGGAGCTCAAGAACCCGCGGGCAGCGGGCCACAGCCGCCTTACTGCCTCTGGTGCTTGTTTAGGTGCTGAGGCGGCAACTGCGCTGGTGGCGCCAAGGCCGAGCCCCAGGTGGAGGTGAACCTCCGCAGGCGCTGCCGGCCCCTGCAGCAGTCTGGGAAGTCTCGGCGGTTCTGCGCATTGCCGGGGTGAGGATGCGGCTCTTCTTTCGGCTGCTCAAGCAGCCGGTCCCCAAACACATCGAGCGCTACTCCCGCTTCTCTCCATCGCCGCTGTCAATCAAACAGTTCCTGGACTTCGGTGAGTGTGACGCCTTGGGGCCAGCCGCCCCCAAGGCCCCGAGGGAGTGAGGGAGTCGCCATCCCCCCTCCTGTCCCGCCTGCTGGGCTCTTCAGCCTCAATGCAAAGTCCATGGGAACCGCCTGGTGGGTGATGGGGATTCAAGCTTGGGATGCTCCTGGAGCTGAGGTTTCGGGTTTCAGGAGGTGGAGGGCAGGGCCTGACACCCACACACCCAGCTTCCTCCAGGGACTCTCATCCCAGTTGAAACTCCTCAGCCATCCAACCTTTCCTTAGATCTAACTTGACTCAAACCGCCCTGTCCTGAAAACTTCAGAAAGATCTCTTAAACGTTTTTTATTTTTAGAGTTTTTAATGGTTGGGTAAGACGTGTTTAGAAACACCTTGAGGTTGAGTAAATCCTGCAGTGGCGTTTTGTTCCTTTTCTGCTGTGAGGTGTTGGGTTGCCTGGAGTGGCAGGACTTAGAACAGTCTCAGTCATGGCCTGCAAATGCCTTAGATGTTGGGCAAGAGCTGACATGTGGGCTCCTGGCCACAGAGCAGGGGTTCTAGGACAGCTCCAGCCTAAGGGTGAGCACCTTTGCTTGGTGTCCCTGGCACTCCGTTGGCAGCTGAGCTAGTACTTGGTTTACATGGGTTGGGGTGAGAAGGGAGAGGACCCAAATAAAGTCTGAGGCCTAACTTAGATGGGAATAGATTCCACCACCTTCCATTAACTAATCAATCCTGTTTCCCCAGAGGATGCCATTCCAACACCAGCAGGCTGAATGCGGTTGTGAAACACCTGAAAATAAAACAAAAATGGAACTCAGCATTGCCGAAGGAAAATCAAGGTGACTTAGGCTCTCAAAGCCAAGCTCTGTTTAAATCTTTTGACTTAAAAATGTCATGGGATGGTGTCAGTTGTGTATAAAAAGTGAAAAATTGGTAGAACCTTCTGGGAAGACCAGCTATACAGAATGTGATGTTGTCTATAATTGGGGGAAACATACAGGATAGAAAGAGAGGTTTAGGTTAAATATTTAAGGCGATGCCAAATTAAATTTTAGAAATCAAGCTGCCAAAGGTCCTCTATCTTGATTCCACAATGTATAATTGTAATATGATAGTTCAGTATATTGATGTCACAATGTATAATTGTGATGTTATAGTGCAGTATGATGATGGTCACAGTGTATAATTGTGATATAGTGCTGCATAGCTGATGTCACAGTGTATAATTGTGATGTCATAATGCAGTATTGTGATGTCACAGTGTATAATTGTGATGTCACAGTGCAGTATAGTGATGTCACAGTGTATAATGTTTGATATCACAGTGAACTATAGTGATGTCACAATGTATAATTGTGATAGTCATAGTGCAGTATAGTGAATTCACAGTGTATAATTGTGATGTCATAGTGCAGTATAGTGATGTCACAGTGTATAATTGTGATGTCATAGTTGCAGCATAGTGATGTCACAGTGTATAATATGTGATGTGTATAGTGCACTATATTGTGATGTCACATGGTGTATAATTATGATGTCATCTTGCAGTATAGTGGTGTAACAGTGTATAATTGTGATGTCACAGTGCAGTATAGTGATGTCAGAGTGTATAATTGTGAGTTTATAGTGCAGAATAGTGAATGTCACAGTGTATAATTGTGATGTCATAATAGATTATTGTGATGTCACCGTGTATAATTGTGATATCTCAGTGCTCTATCTTGATTCCACGATGTATAATTGTGATGTGATAGTGTAGTATATTGATGTCACAATGTATAACTGTGATGTTATAGTGTATTACACTGCTTAATTGTGATGTCATAGTGCAGTATCATGATGTTACAGTATATAATTGTGATGCCATAGTGCTGCATATTGATGTCACAGTGTATAATTGTGTATAATTTTGTTATCAAAGTACATTATAGGCAGTATAGTGATGTCACAGTGTATTATTGTGATGTCACAGTGCAGTTTAGTGATGTCAGTGTGTATAATTTTGAGATCATTGTGCAGAATAGTGATTTCATAGTGTATAATTTTGATGTCACAGTGCACTATTGTGATGTCACAATGTATATTTTTAATGTCATAGTGCAGCATAGTGATATCACAGTGTATAATTTTGATGTCATATTGCAGTATAGTGATGTCACATTGTGTAATTGTGATATCATAGTGCACTATAGTGATGTCAGAGTGTATAATTTTGATGTCATATTGCAGCATACTGATGTCACTTTGTATAATTGTGATCTCACAGTTCAGAATCATGATGTCACAATGTACAATTATTATGTCATATTGCAATATAGTGATGTAACAAGGTATAATTGTGATGTCATAGTGCAGCATAGAGATGTCACAGTGTATCACTGTGATGTCATAGTTCACTATATTTATATCACACTGAATAATTGTGATGTCACATTGCAGTAAAGTGATGTCCGAGTGTATAATTGTGATGTCACAATGCAGAATAGTGATGTCACAATGTATGATTGTGATTTCACAATGTACTATGGGGATGTAACTGTGTAATATAATGATGTCATAGTTCAGCATATTGTTCATAGTGCACTATGGTGATGTCACAGTGTATAATTGTGATGTTATAGTGTATTATAGTGTATAATAGTGTCATAGCATAGAATAGTGATGTCACAATGTATAGTTGTGATGTCATATTGCACGTTAGTGGTGTCATAGTGCACTATAGTGATGCCACAGTGTATAATTTTGATGTCACAGTGCATTATAGTGATGTCACAATATATAATTGTGATGTCATAGTGCAACATAGTGATATCACAGTTTATAATTGTGATGTCATATTGTACTTTCGATATGTCACAGTGTATACTTGTGTTCATTGTGCCCAACAGTGATGTCACATTATATAATTGTGATGATATAGTGCACTATATAGATATAACGGTGTGTAATTGCGATGCCAAAGTACACTCAAGTGATGTCACATTGTATAATTGTGATGTCACAGTTCACTGTAGTGATGTCTCCGTGTATAATTGTGTTTCATAGTGCAGAATAGTGATGTCACAATATAAAATTTTGATGTCATTGGGAAGTATGGTGATGTCAGAGTGTATAACTGTCATGACACAGTGCACTATAGTGATGTCACAATGTATAATTATGAGGTCATAGTGCACAATAGTGATGTCACAGTGTATAGTTGTGTTGTTATAGTGCAATCAAGTGCATAATTGTGATGTATATATGTGATGTTATTTTGCAGTATATTGATGTCACAGTATATAACTGTGATATCACAATGCACAATAGTGATGTTACAATGTATAATTGTGATGTCATAGTGCAGCATAGTGATATCACAGTGTATAATTGTAATGTTATATTGCACTATAGTGATGTCACTGTGTATAATTGTGTTCATAGTGCACCATCGTGATGTCAAAGTGTGTAATTTGATGTTATAGTGTATTATATTGATGTCACGGTGTGTAATTGTGATGTCATAATGTATTTTAGTGATGTTACAGGGTATAATGGTGATGTCATATTGCACTATAGTGATGTAACATTGTATAATTGTGATGTCATTGTTCAAGGTAGTGACTTCTCCGTGTAAAAATGTGTTTAATAGTGTAGAATAGTGATGTCACAATGTACAGTTGTGATGTCATAGTGCAATATAGTGTATAAATGTGGTGTTGTACTGCACTATAGTGATGTCCCATTGTATAATTGTGAAGTTACAGTGCAGTCTAATGATGTCACAGTGCATAATTGTGATGTCATAGTGCACTATAGTTATGTCACAGTGCATAATTGTGATGTGAAAATGTAGTATTGTAATGTCATATTGTATAATTGTGATGTCACAGTGCTCTATAGTGATGTCACTACGTATACTTGTGATGTCATAGTGCAGTATGGTGATGTCACAGTGTATAATTGTGATGTCACAGTGCAGTATACTGATGTTGCAGTGTATAATTGTGATGTCATAGTGCACTATAGTTATGTCACAGTGTATAATTGTGATGTGATAATGCAGTATTGTAATGTCATATTGTATACATACAGTGTATGATTGTGATGTCATAGTGCAATATACTGTTTATAGTGCACTATAGTGATGTCACGGTGCATAATTTTGATGTTATGGTGCACTATAGTGATGTCTAATTATGATGTCATAGTTCGCTATAGAGATGTCACATTGTATAATTGTGATGGCACTGTTCACTTTAGAAACATCACCTTGTATAATTGTGTTTCATAGTGCAGAAAAGTGATGTCACAATGCACAGTTTTTATGTCAAAGGGCAATATAGTGATGTCACAGTGTAATTGTGATGTCAGAGTGATCTATAGTGATGCCTCATTGTACAATTTTGATAATTGTAAAGTTACACTGCAGTATAATGATGTCACAGTGTATAATTTTGATGTCATAGTGCAGCATAGTGATGTAACAGTGTATAATTGTGATGTCATAGTGTATTTTAGAGATGTCACAATGCATACTCGTGATGTCATAATGCATTATCGTGATATCCCAGTGTATAATAGTGATGTCATAATGCAGTACAGTGATGTCACAGTGGATAATTATGATGTAATAGTGCAGTATAGTGATGTCACAATGTATAGTTGTGATGTAATAGTGCGTTATAGTGTATGATTGTGATAGCATGGTGCAGTATAGTGATGTTACAGTGTATAATTGTGATGTCACAATGCACTATAGTGATGTCACAGTGTATAATTGTTATGTCACAGTGCAGTACAGTGATGTCTCATTTTATAATTTTGATGTCACATTGCCCTATAGTGATGACACAATGGAGAAAAGTGATGTTATTGTGCATTATAGAGATGTCACACAGTTCACTCTAGTGATGTCACAAGATATATTTTTGATGTCTCAGTGTAGTATGGTGATGTCACTGTGTATAATTTTGATGACACAGTGCACTATATTGATGTCCCAGTGTATAATTGTGTATAATTGTGTTTCATAATGCAATAAAGTGATGTCTTAGTGTATAATTGTGATGTCATAGTGCACTTTATGATGTTACTTGCGATGTCATAATGCTATGTATTTATGTCACAGCGTATATTTGTGCCACAATGTATAATTCTGATGTGACAGTAAAATATAGTGATGTCACTGTGTATAATTGTGATTTCACAGTGCACTATAGTGATGTCCAAGTGGAAAATTGTGATGGCACAGTGCAGTATAGTGATGTCACAATGTATAGTTGTGATGTAATAGTGCGTTATAGTGTATGATTGTGATAGCATGGTGCAGTATAGTGATGTTACAGTGTATAATTGTGATGTCACAGTTTATTATAGTGATATCACAATGTATAATTGTGATGTCACAGTGCAGCATATTGATATCACAGGGTGTAATTGTGATGACACAGTGCGCTATAGTGATGTCACAATGTATAATTGTGATGTCATAGTGCAGTATAATGATGTCACACTGTGTAATTGTTATAGTGCAGTATACTGATGTCACAATTTATAATTGTGTTCATAGTGTACTAAAGTGATGTCACAGTGTATAATTGTGTTTCATAGTGCACAATAGTGACATCACAGTGTATAATTTTGATGTCACAGTGCACTATAGTGTATAGGTGTGATGTCATAGTGCAGTATAGTGATATCACAATGTATAATTGTGATGGTATTGTGCTGTATAGTGATGTCACTGTGTATAACTGTGATGTCATAGTGCACTATATTGATGTCACAATGTGTAATTATGATGTCATATTGCTGTATAATGATATCACAGTGTATAATTTTGATGTCACATTGCAGTATAGTGATGTCATGGTGTGTAATTGTGACATCATAATGTATTTAAGTGATGTCACAGTGTATAATTGTGATGTCAAAGTGCACTATAGTGATGTCACATTGTATATTTGTGATGTCACAGTTAGGTTTCATAATACAGAATAGTGATGTCACAATGTACAGTTGTGATGTCATAGTGCACTCTAGTGATGTCACATTGTGTAATTGTAATGTC